CTATTACTGCGCGCAGGGCCAACGGCGGGGCCGGAGGGGGGTGTTGGCTATGAAATCTTCGCGGTTTTCAGGAGGTCTGTGCGTGGGGAAGGTCTGTGCGTTCATATGTGTAACATATATAAACACATTACTAACTAGAAATTAGTCTACTCCATCAGATACATCCTATCATGATGTACATCAAAGGTTGAAAATTACTGCTTGCACAGTGTGGCCAAGACTTCATGGTGATCTCATGTTTGTCAAACAAGAGATTTTAGAGGCAGCCTATAGGCGCTTGTCTACAGTTGTTAAGCGTTGTGCAAAGGCATGTTCTGGATATTATTTCGGTCTCCAGCTTGACTAGAACCTACAGCTTCTTGCATTTCTTAAAATTCAATTAAAGGCAGAAATGCTATAGAATAAGAAAGAGCTTTCTCGTCAAGCCCCAGATCCAATTACACCTTATTGCTCATATATGGAGCTTGCTCTACAAGTGGCCAAGTCTGCTGGATGGTCGATATCGGTTGCAAAGCGAATTCTTAACCACTAGGTTGAGTACATACGCCATGGCAAACTTCCAGTCCTACAGCAAGGAAAGCACTCCAAGGTGGCTAGTTAGATAACAGATGAGGGTACAATATTGGCTATGAAGGAATATATGAGTCAGGCTGGTGAAGGTATGTCTGTTTTGATTTTTAATTAATCTATTTATTCTACTTGTTCAATTGTTATATCACTTTGACAATTGACTAATAAGTTTCTCTCCCAGCTATGGATTCGATAGGACTTGCAACCGCAATAACTAATTATTGGCGTAACAAGCATCCAGGAGCTGAGGTTCAATAACAAGCAGAAGCTCAGCTATATACAATCGATGGTATTCAGAGACGAATTAAGAAGGCCTTGACTAGTCACTCAGCTCGGGCCTAGCTTGCTAAATTAGGTTGGAACTAGAGAGAGGTTCGTAAGGCAGTTTACAAGGATGGCCATAAGCGTCCTAATGTGCAGGAATATCATCAAAATGTTTTCCTTTCTCATATAGCTACATTCCAGTCACAAATGATGCAGTGCGATAAAAATTTACAGCCTATCGCAAAAGACTTAGGTGATGGAGAGAAGCCACTCATATTCATCATACATGATGAGTCAACATTTAATTCTAATGATGGAAGAAAACGGAGTTGGATTCATGAGGATAAGAGTCCATTGAGAAAGAAGGGAAGAGGACAGGGACTCTATGTTTCTGACTACTTAACACCAATTGGACGGTTGGATGATGGCAAAGTCTGTAAAACACTCAAGTGTGTTGGTGATGTATGGTGGACTGGAGAATTAATGATGGAGCAGCTTACTAGTAAAGCTATTCCAGCCTTTGAGAAAGCTTTTCTAGGGTGTCAAGCATTGTTTGTATTTGATAATGCAAAGTGCCAACAGAAATATGTGACTGATACACTGCATACCAGGAATATGAATCTCACTTCAGGCGGGAAAAACATACTACTAATACGGGATGGATAGTTTATTTCAGCAGATAGATCTCATGAGGTTCAGAGACAGTCGATGATGTTGCCTGATCGCCAGTTGAAGGGGCTACAAATAGTATTGCAAGAGAGAGGTCTTTGGCCAAGAGGACATAAGTTTCTTGCCCAATGTTCAGTTTCTGGTGATAGTCCTAGAACTACTAAGCTCAATCCTGGCTGCAAATATGCAAGTAATGCTTCCTGTTGTGCTCATACTCTTTTGTCTTCCCAACCAGACTTTCAAGCACTGGCACAGAAAGGCGAATTACAGGAAACAATAGAAGCTGCTGGGTATTTGGTCATATTTTATCCAGTTTACCATTGCAAACTCAATGTTATTGAGTATTTTTGGAGTAGAGCAAAGATGTATGCTAGAGCACATTGTGACTACACATTCTCAGGATTAGTTCAAGTAGTTCCTGAGGCACTTGAGCATGCTTCAAATAAGTTGATATATAAGTATTACCAGCGAATACTACAAATGAAAGAGGCGTACGGAAATCATATGGTATATGGGTCCGAGGACTTTAAGAGACATGTATTTACTCGTTATTCTTCACACAGGCAGATTCCTGAGTTTTAACTTCATGTTTCTTAAAAGCTTACTTATGTTCTATAATCTATGTCACTGTAACTAAAACCTGGGCCTTCCGAGTCCTGTACCCAGAATTCAGTAAAATTACTTATTTTATTTTAATTACTTTTAATATATCTTAATCTATTTCTCAAAACTCTATTTTTAATATCTTAAAATAATGATTTTCATTGTTAACCTATAATTCCAAGACAAATTACAAGCATTACGGTTGCCGTTACCTATAAAATTGTCATACTTTTTGTGTGAAAAGTGGGTTTACGTCTAGTCTTCCGGAACCATAGGATAATAGTATCTCAAAGGTAGGGTAATTATGTCTATGGTAACATGAAGATGGTCCCTATGGCATGGTAACATGACTCACTTAGGCAAGATAACTTCACCCAGCCTTCTGACCTATCCATAGGATGGTATAGACATAGTCATATTACTACTGCTACTTAGGTACACACATTCTTCAAGTACCTTATGCTTGTAGAGATACCCAGACTATTAAATATTTCCTTGGACATGCTCTGGCATGCCAATGTCCACCTAGTCTACCACTTAACCTCATATCCTCATATATAAGCATAGACATAGGTTACCATAGCTCATCAATGTAGGATCATTACATCCTTCTAGCTCTTTCTTTCTTGTCAACAGTATATGACTGTACTCGGAGTAGTACCAACCATTCCTGTGGTGACTCAGAGACTTGGAGTAGTTTCAGTATCAGCCATTTCTATGGCCATTTGCTCTCTTAACAATTGTGGAATTTCAGAATTCTCACTCATTTAAGGCATATTTGAGATTGGTTTAATAATAGAGACAATAGAGACAATACAGACCGGATTGAAGATAAGAGTTGTTCAGTCTTACTTGCAGTTTGGTGGCGAAATTGACTTCACTAACTATTCTGGAAGCCAAGCCTTACCGCACCTCACTGATTTATAACATAATATTCGTAGCTATCTGAACTAACTACAAGTCATATCCCAATCCTGGTAACCAACTTAACGGCATTACGTCCAAGAGGTAAGCCAACTCCACACGGGCCCAACCGCAGTACATCTGGGACTGAGGGTGCTGCCTCGCTGACCCCTCACCCAGTCTACCGGCCAACAGATTTCTAGTCCGGCCCCGTAACTTCACTTGCACTTGAGAAGGCTAACAGTGCAAAATTCCTCACACTCATATTCCCCCCCCCTGACCCATTCCTCCTACCGCACCGTACTACCGTACTCATACTGTATCATACCACAAAAACTCGTCAATATCGCTATGCAGATAGGAGAATTTAGGCACTATTGGGTGGTAATCCATCCTGTGATCATTCCAGTGACCAAACTATTTTCTCTTAGTTGATGAGACCAGCATCATTATTACAGTATTTTATCTAGGTACCAGCACCGGTATCCAGCTATTCTCAGGTGTTATTGTCATTTTCCGTCATTTCTCAGGGTAAAAGAACTCCTATCCAAGCCCTATTGGTAGTAGTATCATAGCGTGGATTGTGCCGAATAGGGTTGTGCCCTCTAGCCTTTTTTCGACACTTGGTCAAGTCCTCCGTGTCTCCCTAGGAACATAGTCTAGCGCTAGAGCGGGGGAAGGGGGGTTACCTGTAGGGTAACTGTGTAGGACTGTACTCGTAGTAAACGGACGTATTATACCAATCCGATTCAATTTGATTCGCACTGCGCTGTACTCGAGTACTGTCCAGTTACATATACCGTGCTGAGTCCAACCTCTACGAGTACGACCGATAAATCTATTCGTCACGTGAGTCTGATAAGAAAATTTTGGTGCACCTTCTGGCTGCGATGTGTTCTTAGATAAGGCACGTGACGAATATGTTTATCGGCCGCACTCGTAGATAAGAGTATTATAGCTGTAATTTATGTATCATAAGAGAACGCATCACATTCTATCATCTTCACAAATAATCACTCGCGTTCAGCACTGTATCGTTGATTTCTGTGATAAGAGCTTATTATAATTTACCATATTTGTATCATCTCCAGACGTGGGGAACGGGTTCACGGTGATCACTTCGTATGATACCGTTTTTATCTGTACGGAGGAGGATTCCTAAACGTCCTCCCACCCGTCTCCCCAAATTCCTTCATCTTATTCATTCTGCACTTCACCACCTATTCATTCATTAATCTCACGATTTACCGACCGTACCGCCCAGAGAGAGACGGATTCGGATTCTCTGGTCGTGGCGAGTGGAAGCTCCCGCCCACGACTATCACGTTGCTAACTAACTAGCCAACCAACCCCACCACCCACCGCACCCGAGAAAACAGAGAAAACAGTTCCTGTACTGTGCTGTACCAAGTTTGGCATGTAATTCAATCTCGTGTAGAATACTAAGGTACTTTGTACTATTGCATTGGCTTTATCCTCCTCCTCGCCCACCGCCCCGAGAACGGACTCCCCGGGATGCACTAGTTGGTGCTGGGCTAAGGAATAATAGTTATAGAATCACAGACCACAAGGGCGGGAGATCCGGCGTCCGCGCGCCGGCCGCTTCGCCGAGAGTCTCACGAAGCTGACATGCACCTCACTTTCCAGGCTTCGGGCACTGAGTGCATGGTGCGTGCGCGGCAGGGTTGGGTCCAAGTGAGTCAGTTGGCCAGAGGCTCCAGGATAGATTATCGGGAACCCCGCCGCGTGGTTGGCTGGCTGATCAGCCATGGTTTCTCCTTGTCTGCTTCGTTTATCTGCGTCATCAAGTGTCACCCGCCTTCCCATCGGGTAGTCTTGACCATCGACCACACGAGTCCGAGCACGGTTCGCGGTTTAGACAAATCCTATGCAATCACTAGGCAAGTTGGCTAATCAGACGCACAGAAAATAACTTCCACCCACTGTCCACACACCTCCAATCACAACTAGAACCCTTCAAGTATCTGTCTCCGAGTGAAAAGGGCACTTATGTAGCAAGGCATGATATCTATACAGTCATCGCAAGTAAAGCTAACGTTGCTAGTAAAACACAGCACCCCACCCAGCGTCCGCCTATGCCATTCCCTTCCCACCACCGTATCCAACCCAAGTTAGCCAACTAATCACCACACCCCCACCTGTAGGCAACAAAAAGGAAAAATGGCAAGCAAACATAAACTCCCGAATCCAACACCCAAACTATGTGCAGTGCAAATCAAATCTCATTGCAAGAATGAGGGAAACGCAAGATGAAAATCAAAGAATCAAAGAGGAAAAAAAAAATAGGGGGAAAAAAAGAAGTAATGGATAGTACAAAAAACCTTGATGCCGCAAAGGAAAATGTCCAAATCAAAGCCGAATCACTAGAAAGGGTAAAAAAAAAAGAAACGACGCTTTCCCGATTATTCCGCCTGCTCTGTTTGCTTGCTTTCCCGCCTGCTACCGCCGAAGTATTATGTCAGTGAGAAAAAGAAAAGAGGTGTAGATATCGGAGTAATAAATCGGCAACAGGAGAGGGAAGAAAGAGGAAAGCACGGTTGAAACTGTATAAATACTTTCTCAGCCAGCCATTAACAACTAATGCCCTTAATATCTGTGCTGAAAACATCAACGTATCCCGGCGCGGATTGCATGTAAGAACAAAACTATGGGAGGGGGAAAAAAAAAAAGTGTCGGACAAAACATAGGTAGAAGAAAGTAAAGGGGAGAGTTTGAAAGCTAGGAAGAGGAGGCGAAAGAAAAAAAAACCGAAAAGAAGTGAGCACAAATAAGGCCAAAGCCCAGCCCGTATACTCATCCCGCCCCTATATTAGTGGGCAGGCGTAGACAACGAGGTAGTTGAGAGATTTAAGTGCTCGCAGCGACTTTAACGTTCACTTTTATGTCTTTTTGTTCTTCGTTTTTTAGCTTGAAATCGGGCTGAAAGTCGAACCACTCAGTCTCGGAATTGTAGTTGTAGGCGCGAAACTCAACGCCGTACGGTTTCTGAATTTCTGTCAGCACGGGAAGGATTCTCAGGTATCAGGGATCATACCGGTTCAAGAACGTAGATAGTTCCTAGAGGAACATCAAGCTTGGCAACGTCTTCCCGTTCAAGACCAAGAAAGTAAGCCAGCAGAACTCTGGCAACCACACGGTGACCAATCAACAAGACGTGATCTGTCATCCGTTCAACTTCCACAATTACAGCGCGAAGGCGGTTGATAACGTCTAAATAAGACTCGCCGCCGGCTCCAGGATAACGGTAGTGTAGTTTGTCAAGACGACGCAGATCGTATTCTTGGGGATACAGACGCTTAATCTCATCGTAGCTAGGGCGCGAGTCAGAAGGGCCCGGGATCAATAGGGATGGGGGGAGAAAAACATACGTCAAGCCCTCAGCTACCCCGGCATTGAGCTCATTGAGCATGCGCATCTCTTTGATGTCATACTCTTCCTCGTCAAAGAATTGGGCGGTCTCGGTACTCCTCGCAAGCATGGACGTCCATACACAAAAGTTCTTTTCCAGCGGCCTTCCATCCTCGTCCTGAGTGCAACAATTCGAGTACTCCGGGTTAGGGGGTGTAGTGTCACCCGGGCGTGGAGGCATGTGTGAGGACTCGTGTTTGTGGAGCTGCTTTTCACGGAACTTTTTGCGTTCAACTGCAACCAGGGGCCGTCAGCACCGCCGGCAACTGTCGCGAATAGAGGTACGATACTCACCATCCATGAACTGGGCCAAAGTTTTGGCGTACTTTTTCCCGTTCTCACTGAGAAGAGCGTTGCCTCCAATCTTGCCCACAACGTTGTCGAGTGACTCACCCTAATATGCAATACAAATTAACAAATGACCATGCCACACGCTACGGCCAAGAGTAACGCACATGTCTAGTGATCCATATTTGGCGATGAGCAAGGTTGAAGTTAAGCAAAAAATAGACAGTTTGTGCAGCCAAAAAACCCTTAGTTTGATGGGTCACAATCTTTCGACCAACGTCGATCATCTGCCAAACGGTTAGTAAGAATTGTGAAATGGGCAATAGAAATTGGTAAAGTAAAATACCTTGATGAATTGCATTCCAGCCCTTTCCTCGTGTTCGCCGAGAGGCACATAATTCTTTTCGTAGATTTCGACTGGGCAGGACGGTTAGCTCGACAAACCGCATCCAGAGATATCAATGGGAAACATACCCCTCTTTTTGAAATCCTCCAACGCCTTAACCGGATCTTGTCCCTTGTAGTCAGGGCCGCTCAACTTCAATCGCATATTCGCCTCGAGAAGCTGTTGATCATGACATTCACTCTCGAGAAACAAAACACCTAATTCCTTTCCAGCGACTTCTCTCACTCTGTCAACCAGCGCCTTTCTTCTCTCACGCGTCGAGTTAGTAGCATCAAGAATGCCGACGGAGCCGCCCTGATTAAGAATGTAGTCTAATAGCTCGTCGAGCGTTTCCATAGCCACTTTCTCCCTGAGTTCGGCTGCCGCTTTGTTTGCCGGATCGAAAAAGGAAGCAGACTGATCAACACCTCCATCAATGTCAACAGATGTAACAGAATCAGTTCTTCGATGCCCGCCGGCGCTGGGGCCGGAGTGTGCCAGGGACGAAAGAGCCTTTGGCGAGAATAGACCAGTCCCGTGTAACAGGGTCGCGGGCGTAGCGGGACCGGCCGGTTTCACAGTTGGATGAAGAGGCTCGCTATTGGCTAGATTGTCCTGCGCGCCAGCCGCAATTCTCCTTCTGTTACCAACATTAAAGATCTTGGTGTCGTGCTGCAGCCAATTGAGATATCTAGCCACTTTCTGTGTAATATAGCTCTTCCCTCTGGCGGGAAGGCCGACCATAACAATAACAAGCTTGGCGCCAATGTCACGGCGTGCAATACGACCATCCGGAGAGACTCGCGACTTTGTCAAGCCAGGTATGTCCAGGGTGGTGGCACGGCTGAACGGATGCCGGTACCGTCAGCTTTGTCGGCCCCCAAAAATAACACCGTATAAAGAATAGATAGAAGGAGGGAGACTCACATCCGCGGCGAGTTGGGCGCCGTAGTGGCGGGAGTGTCAGTCAAAGCCTGCCCCGGGTACAATTGGGTTGGTGGTGAAAGCCATTCGGTGCACTCCTTCCCGGCGGAATATGAGCGTGCCATTCCTGGCGCGCTCATGACGGATTTCGCAATGGATGAGTGCTGTGATTGCTTGATAGGATGTGGGGATGCCGACTGGAGGGGTGGCTGTTGAGGGCCACCGTTGGAACCGCTGTCGAGCGGGAGCAGGTTTTGAGGAGTGTTCGAGGCAGGGAGAGGAACGGGAGAGAGAAAGGCCGACACATTTCTTGGTGATCTCGGGTAGTACGGCGGGATCATCTTGGGGGAGCGGGGGGTCGTGACCTTCGGCGAAGACTGGGCTGACGGAGCCATGCTGACAATGCTGGGCAGAATCAAAGGGGGGATGGGATGGGGGGGAAACAAGGAAAAGAAAAGATGCAGGTGAACAAAAAAGAAACCAGATTGGTCGGTAGAAGGGGGTGGTGACTGGAACAAGTTTTGGTGTGAGATTGTGGTTGCAGGGCAAAGGTAGGGGCAACGAGGAGGAGGACGCGAGGAGGACGAAGCCCACGACGACCACGAGGGGGGGCAAACCTAGGTGTTAAAGGTGGGGGCGTGGGTGAGTTGGTGAAAGCGGAGGGAGGGAGGGAGAGGAGAGGAGAGGGGGGGGGAAGAAGGGGTAAATAAAAAGGTGCCAATTGCGGGGGAAGGGCAAGAGAACAGATATAACGGAGGGGGGGGGGGTAGAGCAGGAGGCTCTTTGCCGGTAGTGCGTCCTCCGGGGGGGGGTTTTTTTTTCGCTTCTCCACTCCTTTCACTGCCAGTGGCTGGAATGGCAGTGTCTTTCCTTTCTTCTCCACCGTACAGGTGTGAGAGGGCAGTCAGGTTGGCGAGCGAGTCAAGCTAATAAACAAAGGAGCAAAGAAGACGACCGGGCGAGAGTGTTATGTAACCTCGAACGGGAGAAGGGTCGCCTCGCTGCATATACTGTGGTGGACGGCTCGAGGGAGGAAAAGCTGGACGGATGCCATGTCGTTTAAAGCAACAGTCGAGCATACACTCCTCTCAGCAGGACGGAAGAGCCAATTGCGAAGCGGGCAGGAGACGGCGGACAAGGGAAAGGGTTAGAGTCAACGATGGGACCACGGTGTGCGCTTGAATCGAGGTCTCCAAAAGGTATCGGTGGCGGGGGGGTGTCAGAGGCTAGACTACAGTACAAGTATCATACTCGAGTATAGTATAGTACAGTACTCTCGGCACTAGGCCTGCTCGTGCAGCGCTGGTACCGGCCCTCCTTGCCGCAACCACATAACAAACCGGGAAAAGGCGTCGGCGTGGAATTTTGGTTTTGGAAACAATCTCGTAGTGGATATTACAAGATGGTTGTAACCCTGTGTGTGCACTCTACCGGTAATCCGCTCAAACGAGGCAGGCCAGCCCTTTAGCCCCTCGCGTGTAGCACGAAGCCGTCGAGGAAACCGTGATACTCGCGCAGTACAGTGGTCTATGATAGCGGTACCGTATCCACTCTCCACAGTACAATCCCGCACACCGACTCCCACTCCCACTCCCACACACACACACACCCTCTCTCTACCGGTATCTCTCATTGCCTGTCACAACCCAAAGCTATAGTCTAACGGTCCATCCACGGTTTGGGCCGTGCCTGGAGGCGGACGAGTGGTTCACCGCCTGTGTCGTAGTTTTGTGTGAATATCGTCGCCTTCCCCCTCCAAGTGTGATACCACAAGGACCGTATGATACTCTAATTTCACCTACAGTACAAACACCCCCCCTCATCGCCGCCTGGACCGGAGATGCAGCCAGCCGAAAGTTTCAGGAAAGCCACTCGCGGCTTCTCCCTTCGCACACACCTCCTCCTCTCACCAACGGGTGCTAAATCTGATCCTTTCAACCCCCTCCCAATGTCTCTCCACCCTCCGGAGCCTTCGTCCTCCCTCTCGTCCCACGATGTAACACTTGTTGTCACGAAAACGTTACCCCTCCCCCCCCGGGCCAATCATTGGTCAATTTTCAAAAACATGTTTGTATGCGTGTGGTTGTTTGTGTCCCTTATCTTTCGGTTTTGTCGAGGCTTCCCCTAATTCTTATGCAATCCCCCCCCCCCTACCTGTAGCTGTTACGGTCCTGGACGCCTCCTTGCAGATAGCCCGGTCCTCCAACTGTTCCACAATCTCTACCGCATTCTCTTCATTCTCCAGATCTGGTCCTCCCCCCTTCGTTTACCCAACTATCCGCCCCCCCCTTTTGTACCTGTACCTTGTGCCGCTATGTACGAGTACCGTACTAGTACATTACCCGCTCCTCTCCAGCTCTTGCCGTGCTCTCGCTCTATCCCCTTCTCGCCACTGTCGATATCGGTGACATGCGCATTACGGAGGACAGGAGGAACCTTTAAACTCCACCCCACACTGACCGGTGAGACAGGTCGAGAAGGAGATGAGCCGGTTCCAACACCGATACATTGCCACTTCTGGTTCTACATCGGCTGCAGCGTGCATATGTACAATACGCTAGACACATGGGACACAGGGACCATGCTTAAATCGAACCTCCTTCTCGAGTCTTGGATTTGTGATGGGATAGGCTGCATCGAGTGCCAGAATTGGCTACGTAATTGGGAATGGGGCTCAAAATTAAACATTGCGGGGGGTATTACCTTGCCTGCTTGCTGTCTGTCATAGCTTGTCTTGGAATCCGGGTGCCTGGATCGGGTCGGAACGGCTGTTCTCCTCGTAACACCCAGCTGCAAGGATATTTCTCCGATTTTCTCGTGACCATCCGTGGTTCGACCGCCTCACCCTTTCCCTACAAGTAGAGTCTGCTTCGCTCCTGTTTCCTCGTATGCGTCCGCGCTGTCGAGGGAGGGACGTCTGTCACCCATTGACGGCCGGTGTGATTTTAGGTGGCTGGAAGCATGGCTTTCCTGCCAAGGTGTGAATATTTCTCCCCCTCTCCTGAATCGCTGCTTACTACATCGGCCTGGAACATCGCGCCTGACTTCTCCGATACCTCGGATAAATCACGAACAGGTATCACGACACCCACACGTGTCCTCTCACTACGTTGGCCTGGACTCGGTGATTTGTTTTCCTTTGTTTGGGACTCTATCATGGACACCGCCCTCGCAACATCGCCAAGGTTTGTTCAATGGTCGATGGACGTACCCTCGGAACAGTCCGGCCAGAATTCCAAGCATTCACGGTATGCCAACCAGCCTAATCGGGTTGGAAGCAGAAGAATAAGAGGGATCCTCATATTCTCATCCGGACCAAACATACATATACAAGCATATCCATCAGGGTGATTTACTTACCCGCGACACCAGCATCCCAGATCGTACCGTTCATAATGACGCCCCTTCGCGAGACTCTTGGAGCGAGGTTCTTATATGATTCGAACGGCTGTACAGTACTGCAGTCACCTCTCCAAATCATCAAATTTGGAACAGATCTCTCGACGGGGAGTTGGACCCTGAATTCTTTTTCCCTCTTGCCTGTTGTTATTTGTCCGGAACGGCAAAAACCCGATCCAGGCCCTAAGGCACGATTGCGCGAGACCAAGCCTTCTTGGCGAGGGCCCTTTTTCTTTTAAGCCTCCAGAAGTCTATGCACTGACGCACGAAATCACGAATCGAAGGGGGAGCAAGCTGCCAGCGAAACCAATTTACGCCAGATGATTTACTATCCTCGAGTATATCAAAAGGTTATGCTCTACAGGCTTCCTATCATGCATGCTAGGAATAATTGTGTCGCTGTTTTTTTCTTTTTTCTTTCTGTTGGAAGGGGGGGGGGGTCCCGCGTGCGAAGCACGGGGTTTGCCTTTTGGACATCCGTCTCCGGTCTTGTGTTTTTGCTTTTTTGGAGGGTATATGCGAGGCAAGGGGGATCTATCGGGGAGACCAATGTGGGGGCTTACATGCGGTGGTAAACCAGCTCGCTAAGTTGGACAGAACACGACTTTGTGATAAGAAGTGGAGAAGAGGGTATTATAAATATACCTTTTGCACTGAAAAACGTACGGGCAAGGGGATCCGCGGAGCGCAAGAGCGAGTCAACGCAGGCGAATCGGAAAGCCTCATTTCATTTCATCCTCTTTTCGATAAGGGAAAAAATAGGGGCCGCAGTATTATTATGTACCGACAGCGGCACATGGGGTTGGCCAATAAACTTAAGATAAGACCTGCTACTTCTACTGGTATTCAGTCTAACCTCTCTCAGCAAGCAGCCCAAACCAACCTACCGCCCAGAATAACCGTTCGCTTCCCCAGAGCGATCCCACGATTGAGAGACATTTGGGTTGAGAGTCACTGTACACTGTACAGTACCCGAGCGGTCCCAGCCTCTCACACACATGTACCCACCGCGATGAACACCAACTCCTCGGTGCCTGCCGAGTGATTGCCAATGCTTCCGATATTAAGCTATCCTACCTCAATTTCGGAACCGGGGCAATGGGGTGTGATGGATATAGGGTATCACGTGCCATCAGCCCAATGTGCCGATATCCGCTCCGTATACAGGATAGATGGTGCATATATTCGAGATGTACGCTTGATAAGATGGATGACTCGAAGAGAGTTCAGCACAGTTTTCTCGGTTCTGCCAGTGGTAGTCGTTCTGGTGTATGCAAAGCGCCATATTAAATAACGGCTAGCATGTGCGGCATGGTTGGAGGAAAAAAAAAATGAACAAGGAAAGCTTGAGTGTGTGCTCCTTGCGCCTAGATACACGTTGGGAAAAGGGTGAGGAGTGATGGGGTCGTGGGGTGGTATTGACGCGCTTGCAGGTGGAGCTGAACACTGGCACTATCGGGTATCCAGTACTATGGCCATTCCGGATCCCCCTGTGGCGGATTGTCCTCTGATCTGGTGTGGTACGGTAGGGGATACACGGATTTCTTCTACCCAATTAAAACCGTATGCCCCCTGATGTGGACTAATACAAGGGAAGCAATGAGGTGTAGTAGGTATTGTGAGTCCACCGCGGAAGAACTGAACGAGCTCGTGGCCGGGTTTGGTGGTGGTGGTGAAGGTCATTACCCCACCCGCACCTCCACGCTCCCCAGGATAAGTCACCGATTCCCCCTCATGAATAACAAACCCACCATCTCCGGCAGCCCATGATCCCACAATAGGTTAACAGGATTGTGTGGGCTAGTCAGCGGGATCCGACACATATGGTGTGCTAGTCTTCTTACATTATATCAGGAACACACCAGTTCTTCCCGGGGGGCTGATGGAGATGGTGGACTACATGAGTTTTTACAGTGTGCATTCCCCCGCGTTTGTGCAACACTCCTTCCCTCCCCCTCCTGGCCTCCCAGGATTCAGCACTTGGGTAGAGATAAGCTTTCCCAATACAAACCACCGGGAAAGATGACTTGGGAATGGGGCCGGGCGAAAAGCTTGATTGAGAGGGCTCTCTTGGTGTGGTAGCCGTTTGGGCCAGTGGTGGGGATGTTCCGGATAAGACGCATGGACTGGACTGGATGGAAGCCATGCCGTGTCCGCGTTACTCTATGTGGGGGGTTTTGTAGCAAGGCAGATGGGCAGGCCGGACCGATGGGATGGCGGTGG